CAACAACGCGTGCCACCTCCTGCGAGCGTGCTCACTGGATGTCCTCTCCTTTTAGGACCAGAAAGCCTCATGACATCATAACAGAAACACAGGGTGCGTCCAATTATTTTCACGTCTCTTGCTTCGCTACTGCTTCTGCGGTGCTCTTATCTGCTACTACCGTCATCTCATTCGCTGATATTAGAGAGTTTTAGGAAACCGTAATTTAACACGGTCGATAGAACAATCGATCAGTTCCTCGGATCTGGAGACCGAACCGATAGTTTTCCATGAAACGGCTTTTAGAGATCCGCGTTTGGAGACAATCGGTGCGGGTCGAGCCTCCTGGCAACGGAAATGCGCAATGGCTTCGTAAAGTGGGTAAAGAAGGGGCATGTTTTATGGGGAGAGGAGATCTTCGTAACTTCACAGAACTGAAGGAACAATATTCTCCTTTTCAGAAATAGCCTAAAGCCAAATTTGTGGAACTATCTATAGTTTATCTCGTTTTGTTGGAATAGGAGCGCTAAATGAGCAGACTATCTTCGTGTCAATCATGACGGTAGAAAGGCTTTATTCAGCAAGAAAAACTGAGAAAAAGTCACTTTACTTGACTTAGCTACCCCAAGAAGGAGGAGATTGTTGACGGCGAGATTAGAGAGGTTCGACCTCGCGTCAATGGATGACGTGGATGTACGCCAACTTCGCTTCTACAAAGCCGACGTAGCTCATCTTCGATCCACGCTGCAAATCCCGGACGCCCTAACCATTAAGAGCTGGGTCATCAAACATGGTTTGAACTAGGGCTGGGCGTCGATTAAAATTTTTAGCCCGATTAATCGCCACCTTTTAGTCGATTAATTAATCGGTTAACCGATCTCGTTCATTTTCATGCATAACATTATTGTTCAAAGGTTCATCTATTTTTTTTTTTTGCTGATTATGTGTTAAACGACGCATAATTTTAATTATGAATCAAGTTTGATATACAGTTGAGAACAGTTCAAAAACACTCACACTCAGATATTATTACTTCAGCTTCATAAGACAAAAATGTTCGTTGATATCCTCCGAAAAGGGCGACCTCCTTTGATTGTTCACACTGTAGTCTCTGCTGCGCTAAACGGACACTCGCACGTCGTTGAAATCGCCGGGTCATATGTAACCTTCTGCACTTGTCTCAAGCTACAAATGTGCCCCTTACAGTTTACATTAAGTTAATATTTCACCTCAAGTTTTCACTTTGTATAGGTGTGCTCGTCCATGTCCGCATGGTGAAAGCATTTAATTTTCATTGAATATTGCTTCGTGAAAATTTTAACAATTAACCGGTTAAACAAATTAATCGCGATTAAAGCATTAATCGATTAATCGGTAGGTTAATCGATTAATTGCCCAGCCCTAGTTTGAACCCGTGTCGTCAGCGCCTTCATCGAGATGGGAGAGTGACGCTTCAACCAACTCAGCTCTTCCACATCCCCGCAAACTGAAACAAACGACCAATAAGATTCTAAGAAAGTGTCGGTGTCTTGCTGACGTTTCGTTTTTTTTTTTTTAATTGCCGTGAATTCGACTTTATTCTCTCACCGCCACCATTGCATTTCTTCCAGGCAAAACCAAAAATACTTTTTTTTTCTCGTTTGGAACTTCGGCAAGCCTCAATTCCCACAGCGAAACAACCGTTCTATAAACGAGTCGAGACGGTTCTGATGTAAGCCGCTTTGACCACACGGTCACAGCTTACGGTTCGGACACTGAAGTACGGTAACGAAGCAGTGACCTCGTGCATGCGCAGTTCATACTGGAGAGCCGTTTGTATCGTATTGTTTGCGCAAAAACGGTTCCCTAAAACTTTCTATTAGAGAGTTTTAGGGAACCGTCTTTGCACATCAGGTACAGTACTATGGGCCCTTCTGTACGCACTGCGCATGCGCGAGTTTTCTGCGGTAGCGCATGCGCAGTTCGTACCGGAGGGCCCATCGAACCCTACCGGATGTGCAATAACGGGTTCCTAAAACTCTCTATTAGGACGTTCGCTACTAGCGACGCCCTGCGTTTTTTTAAGCCGTCAGTGTCTAGGGATTATTATACCTGTCTCCTGTTTACAAAGTTACGAAGGGGTGTGACCAGTTTCAACGCATGCAGTCACTCAAACCTATCAGAAAATTGTGAGGTTAAGTTGTCCCCAAAAAATTTATACCAGCTTTCAGACGAGCACGTTAAAAGCCTTTAGAACAAACTCCTCTTATTAAAAAATCGGCGAATGAGCGCGCGCCAATGCCGAGCGCTGGTTCGTCGATTCTTAAGACCTTTTACGAGCCCGTGAAATGGGGGAATAAGTATATTTATTTTAACCTAACAATATCATTGCGTATATCGAGAACGCAAGCATTGTGAAACGTACTATAGTGAGTACTTGGTTGTACACCATTTGGTGAATAACGCTCTCTACCTTTTATTAACGATTCGGTTGTTTCCGTCCAAGGACATTAATCCAGATACATTTTCTATTTAATCCATTCTATACAAAGGGCGTGTTAAACAAATCAAGTCGTATTGATCTCTGAGTTGTAAATCGAACACCAACGTTTGTGACGACGAAGTAGTAATTTTACTCCTTTACATCAGATATTTATATTCACAGTAGGCATCTTAATATACTGTTTTAAATGCATCAGATTTTGAAATCTTTATAAACTGTACATGAAGTGTCGAACTAAACATGAACTTAGCACAATACGTAATTTACCACGTAATCAAACAAGCAAAGTTTTGAAAGTTATAGAATACGCTTTGATGAATTGGGTTACCTTAATGGAGGAATCTCCCTAAACTTTTATAATCCAGGTTGTGTTCGTTCCTCACTGTCATATCATTCCCATGGTTAAAGCTATTTTAACAAACCTAGCCTGGGGTACAAAACAGAAAGTATACCGGGTTCGATCGAGAAAATGAAACCCCGTTTTCCGGCCTACATAAATAAAATACGCGTCACAGGAAGCTGGAACTGTGAGAATATGACGTTAGCGGGGATGATAGAATAACAATTTTCGAGTATATGACGCTACCTGAATAACAAGATACAAGACACAAACAAAATTCTGATATGGGCCGACGTCCACCTAAGCCTAATATTCATCAAACCAAGAAACTACATTGTGAACACCAATGGAGCAGACAGAAATATCTTCCAGGGGAAGCTGAGGTCGCTGGGATTTTCATGACTTGAGGTGCGGGGGAAAGGGGGGGGGGCATGTGTATAATATAGGGTCGGCTGGATTTCAAAAAGGGTGGAGGGGGGGGGGGTTTGACAACCCCTCTCCTCGCTACGCCACTGGTGGGTGCCTGTACCACATATTTTAACGAAGAAACTTGTCAGCGAGAAAACTTTCTTATAAGTTACTTTTTTACTGATGTAAATCTTACAGGCGTCTACAATGTAATTTTTTGTTTGATAAATATTAGGCTTAAGTGGAAGTCCACCCGTGAAGACATTTTGTTATTCTCTTGTATTATTTTATTCAGGTAACGTCATGTTTCCAAACCTCCGCATTCCGACACCGCCACTAGCTTCACAGTTTCACGGTCCTTCAGCCTTCTACGATGCGCGATTTATTTATGCGGGTCGAAAAGCCGGCTTTCCTTTTCTCGATCGGACCCAGGAGTTCCAGGTACGGTTCCAGCGGTCATTCGTGCCACCAGTTGGCTCTTCCTTCAAATGCGAGAGTTCAAACATAGCCAAACACTTCACGAGACGCCGGCCACTTCAAGTGTGTAGTGCTGATGTTGACAGGTCGCTAGTCCGCAAGGCCTTAAGATAAACTATATGCAGCACACACGCGAGCAGCGCGCTCATTCAAAGCCCAGCCCTTATGGTGGTAAGAAATATATTCAAGGATCTCTGGCATCAGAAACCGGCTGGCTTTGCTGCTTGCAAGGTGTATACAACCACAGCGACGTCTTGTATTGCATGCTGTCTTAAACCATAGTTTTATGTCAATGTAACGTAACAGTCCACACGCCTGTGTACGTGCCCACATGCATAGCTCACAGACGAACGTTTTCGAGTGTCTGCTACGAGCTGCGAGACTGTTTCGGTGAGCTCTGTTTTTCAGACTGCTTGTCGGCAACCTTTGCCTATCAGCGGGGTAACGGATTTTTTGCCTCCGGACAATGTTGCGTACCCCACACAAGGTTACCAAAAGGTCGTTTTCAAAACTAACCACACGGGCGATCATTTGGTTGTTGTTTTCGGTCCCCGACAAGCGGACATCGCCGTTATGTCCGCGATGCGCTTAGCTGAATTTGTTTTGTTTGACTAAGCTATCTGATAGCACATTAGATCACGTGGATCCAGGAGTCGGTGATACCACTTATATATTCCGCATTCCACATATTTTGTATGGGTACATCCGTAATGTACCGCTTTTTTGTCGTCGCTTAGGTCGCAGCGCAGGGGAAGGACGTAACAAATTTAGCCAAGTTGACAGACGCGAAAGAAAAATATATTTAAAATAAAATATGATATTGTCCAAGTACACGCAGCCCGCCGATTTATGAGATGCAGTACAAAATATTCAGAACGTCGCATGATATAAGATAATTATGAATTACGCCATTGTCATGAGCGTAAAAACCCACTAGACAACGCCGCGTGCTAAGCGAAAAACGGCATTCAAACATAAATCCTGATCTATTAATGTATCACTAGTGTCTCTACTTGATGACAGTCATATTCACAAGCGCGCTAGAGTACAACGGTTTCGATAAACTTGTGATGGCTTGCGGCGACCACAAAAAACCTGTGGTAGCCGTGGACTCGCGACAAGAAAACCCGACGTTAGTGCTTTCGTAAAAAACAGAAAAAGTAGGCCACTTTTTCTAAAAGATGAGAAAGACAAAGGAAAGAGGTCAAGTATCTGCCAACTTATCACATGTTTCCTCTTCCCTTTCCCACTCGCTCGCGCTGTAACAAGTGGAGGTGCTCGAGACGATCACCGACACAAGCCACAGTTTCGTACCTGAGTGACAGGACGCTGAGAGTTGTGGCGGGAACCGGAAAGATCTGCCGAGACACTTGTCCCAGCCTGGTGTAAGAGATCTCCAGGTCGCGGAGCCTGAGAGCTGTAAAGGCGCCGTCCTCGATGACCTCCAGGTCTCCGCCCTGGATCATGACGTGCGTGAGACTCTTGGAAACCGCCGAGAACCGACGGTCGATCTTCCGCAGGTTGGACGAGAAGATGTAGAGCCTCTGCAGGTTGGACAACCTCGCCAGGGCCGTCCAGTCCCAGTCGTCCAGGTTGATACCCCTCTTGATCTCAAGCATGTACAGGGTGCTATCGAAGCCCTCGAATAAATGACCGCTCTTTTGTAATCCGGAGAAGTTGGCCATGTACGTGTACAGTTCGCTGACTTGCACGTGTTTGAAAGCGTCTGAAGGCACGTCCTTCATGTCGATCAGGGACAACTCGAACTCGAAGATGTGCATACCTTTGAACTTGGACAGTGCGCGCTTGAGGACTTGCTTGTCCTCGACGGCCCGGCACTCGACGCGGTCGTAGCTAGAGAAACCGTAACAGTTGCAAGGATGCACTTCTTCCTTCTTCGGACATACGGACTGGACGAGGTTTCTGCAGAGCAAGGCCTGAACACTCAGCAGCAGCGTAGCAACGAAGCTCACCGACGTCATTGTGCACGCGCAGGGTCAAGAGGCGGAGATAGATGTCCCGTCGACGGGCGTGCTGCCACCGGTGTCACGGCTGGAACGGAAAGAACGCGACTCAGCAAGAGGAGGAGGAGGATCTGCGTGTGAGAACAGTGCCGATAAAGTTTCGGTTTGACGTGAACTTCTTTTTTTTTTTTTTTGCTTGTTCTTTTTGTTTTTCCTATTGCGGCGAGCGTGTCGCCCCTACTGTTCGGGTTCAGAATTAACATCCGCACCCTCGATAAGCAGCGAGGGAATTTCAGAGATACGGCACCAGGTAGCGAGAGATTGCGGACTCTCAAAGCGGCCCGCGCCGATAGTGCGGCACATAACTTCTTGGCTCCCGACTGCGAGATACTCGCCCGGCGAATTCGTCGACGCCGGCAGTATAGCGGCCGACGTTGTCCGATTCGGAGGTCCTTCTCGTTTAAACCAGTCCGTTTGGCCCCGAACAGGTAACTCCTCTAAAAGACAGGTTCATCTGCCTTGCAGAACACGTCGCTTCAACTTTGGAACGGACGAGAGGGTTAAGCCCTTTCAGTCGGTAACTGGGTGCTGCTACAGATAAGCGACGAGGTGTCCGGAGTGCAAAGACCTATCTAAAAATAGAAACGAAACGTTTATGTGAAAGAAAAGCCTTAAAAAAAAGGATAATTAAAAGGACGTAGGTTTTTTGTTGTTGTTCCGCTTCATTTACGTGCTAAAGACGAATTCAGTTCATTTTATATCATTTTGTTTTATATGGAATCTACAGCTTCACTGTGAAAGGCTGCGCTATGATTTTGCGATCAGCCTCAGATTCATATTTTGATTTTCAATTTTGTTTCAAGTGCATCTACTTTGACATGAAAATATAATTCATTTACGCTATAAGTTAAAACCATCACCGCTTGATTCTATGCCGCTTCACCAGGAGACGGATAGAAACAGTGCCCCAGCTGAGGTTCGTGAGTTCGTCGCTGGAGGCACGGCCCAACCACCACGAGCTATATGCAGGAACTCTAGACGCGCGCAAGGGTCCTCGATGTACTTGCGCTTGTCTTGAAAATAGCGTCAAATGCGCCAGTGCACGAGGCCCGTGTTTCGAGCGGCCCTTGGAAGCAAATGGCTGCGCAGCATTAAAATAAGCGGCCCTTGGAAGGGAATGGCGGCCGAGCACCCGCTCGTGGCACGTGTCTCGCGTTTCCACAACAATGGTTGCCGGTACTTGAAAGCGTGAATTTTATCAAGAGACTTCAGTCAAGGCCACCAGTTCGGTACGACTTGCTGCGGTCGCTCTGAGAACTTTCGTTTCCCCCCACAGATATAGCCACTCGGAAGGTCGATCGTTCCCAGGGAACGGGAAACAGAGTCGAGCAACCTTCCCATAACTATTGTCCTGCTTCTTGATACTTTAAGAAATTGGGAGAGAATCCTGCATGATCGCTTGAATGCGTGGACACTTCGAAATTAAAATTTTATCTGAGGACTTTAGAATACAATTTTTTTTTTATAAAACATTCAGTGCGGGTAATATTTTGTTGTTGCATGATTTCTATCATTCCGCGATAAAATGTCGGCTCCTTGTCATATATTTGTATTGGTCGAAAAGACTTCCAAGTAACTGCTTTTGCAATTGCTAGATTTCTGGGGTTTTTGCTCGAAGTACTTGTTCAAAAGGTAAGTGTTATAGTACCAGGTGCCTAAATGTTTCTAATTCCATCTCGTCTTTTCTTTTTTCTTTCAATTGGAGTTTCACGAAGGTACTATAGTTTTGTTAGTAATATAACCTCAAGTGTAAGGTACGCGAATGTAGACTTTTGTTTGTTAGATTAGTTCATTGAAAGTGTGTGCAAAGTCGTCGACTCTGTCGTCCGTTGGGAAATAGTGCCGATTACATTTCAAGTTTTTATACTCTGTTTCGTACTTTAGGTCACTAAACTCGTCAAACACAAAGTTGAAGCCCAAGTTCGCTGAGCGTGCTAATTGAACTCTCGCGACAATAGCGTCACGTGGGACGAGACGTCAATCATTCAAACTCTCTCGGCGCTTGAATTCCAGCGATATTGTGGAACACAAAGTCGTAGCGAGCTTCATCGCTTGCGCGTGAGCAACACCGTGGGCCAGGCGATTGAAAGGCTGCAATGAAGTCGTCACGCCCGCGTGCCCCTACATTCCTATGCCGCGTTAAACGCCGTTCACACACTTGCAACCGAGTAGAATCAAGAGCGACAAGACCGGTTATTAAGCCTCTTGCGATGGCGTAATACCTGCTCCGCAGCAGCGCATGTGGTCTTACGCCGTCACAAGAGGCTTAAGAACCAACCTTGTTAAAATGACACTGACAGGATATTTATGCTCGCCGAGGTTTTTAGTTGTGCGTGACATATGAGAGCACAACTACCCAGAACAGAATTCGCGGCTGGAAATTCAGTTTCTTTCCGCCCGAAAACCGCCGATCGAGAACTGGCCGGCTTGAGTCGCGCTCACTCTCTTCTCCGTGATCACGGGCCGTTTTCTAAGGTTTAGACACGACCACCAAATTTAATCAAAGTCGTGGGTCATTGAAGGCACAGAGTCAATATTAAAAATAGAAAAAAATGATACCCATTTCTTGTGGCTTCCAAAAAGCTGCAAATACGTTGATAGAAATAAAAAAAGAAAGGTTGCATAGACAACCGGAAGCATTCTGTGCGTTCACTGCATAATTCCCAACATGGCGTCGTTTCGCGTATCGTGGGACTAGCGGATGGCAGCGGACGACGGGCGTGGGACCTGTACTTCATAACTGTCGTTCACAGTACCGGCGGATTCTGTCTTCCTTCGAAAGATAAATTTTGGACCGACCAAAGGAATTGATATTTATCCCGTACGACACGCCCGACCAGCAAGCCGATTGCAGGCAAACTTCGCTGAGCAGTCGTCCCTTCTCGTGGCTGAAGACATCACGCGCTCAAACGTCAAGCACGAAGTACGTACTTCAAGTTGAATACGCACGCATACGGTTTCTTTACTAGGTGCGAATGTGGCCACCCGACTTCAAGCCAGGAGCGCATGTACTTGAGGGAAATCGGCAGCAAACTTTCCGACCTACAGTCGACCGGCTGCATCACTACGAACGGACGTGTTCCTTCAGTAGCTCAGTGGGAAGACGTCCGCTTCAGACGCAGCGGGCACGGGTTCAATTCCTAGTGTGGGCGTACCATTTCCTTTTTGTCAAACATTTTGCGATGCTTACATTTCTTTCTTTACAATTATCACTGAAAAAAAAAAAAAACAATTGTTGTGGACGATACGTCGCTGAACTAAATGTTATGGAATTCCATTTTTGACACCTGCGAACTTAATGTAGTTACTTTCCACAAAATGCAAGGAGCATATGACTCGGGTAGCGTCCGCTTTCCAAGGTTCCCGTAACTGTTCTACGGGAATTGCAGCCAGCCATTGATCCCGACCCGTTGATCTTTCGGAAACTTGTGCGCTCTGCCGCACAATGCCACTTTCAGATGCAGGACATGTGAGACAGCTCTTCACGCAATATCTTGGGAGTATTCTTTTCGGAGCCGATCACGGGAATTCACCACGGGCACTCACTACTAATTGCCAACACTTAAATGTACAAAACAACTCATCTTGAAGTATAGACCGACACGCGGAGCAGCTCTGTTTACCAACACGGCCGGAAGGCCGCGCATGCGCGGTAGCTATGTGGGCAAAAGCAGCCCGGCTCTCCGTGTTTTCGCCACTGCGTTCTATGGCGTGCGCTCGTTGTTGACGTTGTAGGGACGCTTGCATCTTTATTTGTGCGTCGTATTTCCTCACAAGGTTTGTCGTATGCTATGCCCGGCTATTTGAGCTCGTGGCCCGAGCCTGAACGGCAGCGGTATCGAAACAGACTGTGCGTGGACGGCGTTGCCTACGAGGATCCGTACGCCGTAAGCAAGGGCTGTTGGACTTCCGACGTAAAGTTGCTGCCACGGAAGTCGACGGCTCACGTCGTCGTATATTTAGTTTTTTCGCCAAGCCAGTTCACGGCCGACACGGTGCAGTCGTACAAGTCCTTCGAGGTCTACGATTACTTCGGGTCGGTTTCCGCACTGCCGGCGGAATCAGCAGACTCTTGGTCTGCGGAGGTGTGTGCATTGATTAATTAATTAAATACACACAGCGTCTTCAAGTCAAGGTATGATATTTTTCCTACCCTCAGGTCCACAAGGCATGACAAGCAGTAACGGTTTGTCCGTTCTGCAGTCTTGGCGGTAATAGGTTACAAGTAATTGCGTTGTTGGTAACGCGTTACTTTTTTCAGTAACGTAGTAACCTAATTGTTACGTTTTCGACACAGTAACGGGTAACGTACTTTTGTTACTATTTCAAGTAACGTAGTTACGTTAGTCGTTACTACTTCCCAAGTCTTAAATCAATTGCACTTCAATTTTTTCCGTGTTTTAGGCGTCGAGCCATGTTTTTTTTTTGCGTTTTTTCTCGTAAGTATTTAGGTGAAACCGTAAAAAGAGATAAAGTAATTATGTTCAGTTTCTGCGTGAACATAGTGTTTCTTGATCGTCAAAACCGTAAAATGTGTTTAATTATAATTTAAAAAAGTAACACGGAAGTAACGTGCGTTACTTTTATCGGTAGCGGTAACGCGTTCCTTTTATTTTTAGGTAACGTAGCTCAGTAACGCGTACCTTTTATTTGCAAGTAACGAGTAACGTATTTCGTTGCTTTTTTTCGGTAACGCCTACAACACTGCTGTTCCGTCGCCGATCCCCTTCTGCTGGGTAGCACGGGCGTAGCGAGCCTCCGACGAGCGCTTGGCCGGTGCTTTGTGCGCGAACACCATGGGAACAAAATCCGGGTGGTCTCGATCAGACAACGGTTTCCGTACACATAAGCAAGCCTCGGGACGGAAATTGAAATGGAAGCCGCACTTGCCTCCCAAAAAGTGGTTTCCGCACAAAAGGTCGTTCGCGCAAGGCGACCATAATTTTGGTTCCACGGATATTATCCACCTTCTATGCCTTTCAGAGTCTGCCGGGAACTTGTGGAAACTCACTCCGCTGCTTTTCTTGTACATTTCGGTGCAATTAACGGCAACACAGCTTCGCAGCATGCTGAA